GGGGGAGAGGGTCTGGTGTGTGGGGGCCCAGAACGAACAGGCTGCCTGTTCCAGGGACAGGACGCGGCACACACACCCTGCCAAGCCGGAGACAAGAGGAAGTTTGGCGGCGGGGGGGGGCTGGAAAGATGTTTCCTCTGCTCTGGGCGCTCCGTCAGAGCCCCCCCAGCCAGACACCTCTGCCTCCCCTGGGCCTCCCCGGCCCGTGCTCAGCCCCCATCTCAGGTCTCTCGGGCATGCGTGGCGCATGCGCCTGACAGGGCTCCTGCGGCCACTGCCCACCCCCCAGCACCCCGGCCTCAGCACCCCGGGCTCTCTCAGAGGCCATCTAGCTGCTGCAGGTGCGTCGGGCAGGTGTGGCCGGGGGACCCTGCCTCTCACTTGCCAGCTGAACAGCCCAGGGCAGGGCCCCCCTCCTCTTGGAACCTCTGTGAAAACAGGGTGAGAGTGTCTCCTTGAGAAGGAAATGATGCCCTTGTCACTCCCGCTCTCCTGGCGTCCCCATTCCTCTGTCCCTCTGCCCACCTGTTCTACCTTCCTCTCTGCCTTGGGCCGGGTCTCACCTCTGCCACCCTGTGGCCCAGGCCCCTGGCCCTGTCTCTGCCTCCCCAGGCCTCCTCTGTGGCCCGCCTCCCCAGGGCCCAGCTCCCCTAAGGGAAGCACCCAGAGGACAGAGAGGCAGGCCAGGCGGGCAGGGCAGGGTGCCCAGGTGTCCTCCCACCCTCCCCGCTCCCGGGCAGCCGTCCCCAGCCCACAGCATGGACACAGCAAGCAAGGAGCAAAGCAGACCCCTCCTGAGGAGAAGCAGGGAGGGAGCTAGGCCTGCAGAGGGCCCCCGGGGAATCTGGGGCGGTCCTCATCCTTCCCTCCCACCTTACTGGAGTGAGGCCACAGGACCCAGGAGGGACCCACAGTTGGCAGGCCAGGACCACAGGTCAGGGCCAAGCTGGGCAGGCAGGGCCCTGGTGAGTAGCAGGCAGACCCCAGCAGTCCAGCTCCTACTGCACAAGGACAGGGTCCTGGAGCCAGTACAGCAGCGGCCCTGGTAGGGGAGGAGGCAGGGGACAGTGAGCTGGAGGGAGCTCTGACCGCCCCTGCCAACCCCTTTGCCCCCACGGAGCTGGTGCTCACGCCCTGGGCTCTAAGGGCCGCTGACGCCTGGAGAGTTCCTGGAGACTAGCTCGGGGGGAGGCCCCGGGTAGGCGGGGGGACCCAGAAAGTCCCAGGGCTATGAGTCCCCAGGCCTGGGTGAGCAGTCCCCCCCAGCCCCCTCACCCAGGGAGCCAGGCAGCGGGACAGGGGGCCTGCCGTCAGGGGCCCCAGGGGCAGGTGGGAGCCAGGCAGGAAAGGACCAAAGGACCGGGCCACAGAGCCGCTAGTGCCCGCAGGAGGCTGGTCCCATGAGGAGGGTGCGGTGGGGGCGTGATTCCCTGAGGCTGTGTGTCTGGGAGGGAGACTTCCTCTCCAAATAGGCCTCTTAGCCCCACAGACCAGCACCTGGGGTCTGGAAGCCCAGAACCCTCGAACCAGAAGATTGGAACCCCAAAGGGGCCTGAATGGGGGGGGCGTTGCTGCCTGGAGCCTAGCATCGGGCAGACCTCCCCTGTGGTCGCTCTGGCCTGCCTTCCCTGCCAACACAGCCCCTTCCTTCTAAGGCCATCCAAGGAGCACCTGACCAGCTCTGCTCTGAGGCTCCCCACCCCTGCACAGCTTCCCCTCCCTCTCCCTCTCCCTCACTGCAGCCCTGAACTGCCCTGCTCTGGGTGAGGCCGGGGGCTGGAGGCCCACGCTCTGCACCTTCACCCCTGCCTGCCGAGAAAGGGGGCGGCGGAGCAGGGTGGGATAGACCCCCCCTTCCCGAGCGGTGGGGAGCCAGGCTGACCTCTTCTCTGAGGCAGCAGAACAGAACCCGAGGCCCAGTGCGGGGGTTGCTGAGGGTTTCCGGGGCGATAATTGGGCAGCGATGAAGTGTTCTGAGCAGAGGCTGACTCCTGTCACCTGTGATGGCCAGCACCGCGCAGCCTCCCCCCAGGTCCTGCCGGCTCTCCGTGTGACCCACCAGCATCCCCCTTCCGCTGGACCCCGCTTCCTCAGGTCCGCAGCGGGCTGCTCCAGCCCCCGGAGAGGGGGCACCGAGGGGTCGGAGTCTGAGGTCCTTTCCAAAACCCGGGTCCCCCCACAAAGGGGAGTCTCGCCCACCCCCAGCACCTCTAGCACTGAGCTGCTTTCCTGGGTCTGCTCAACCCCTCCAGCCCTCTAGGTCCCAGCCGGGCACCCCACTCCAGGAAGCCCTAGCCGGTGCCGGCATGTGTCTGGTGGAGTGGAGGCTGGAGGTCACCCCGGCCAGGGGCTGCCCAGCTGCTCAGGGAGCTTGGGCCTGAGTGTCATCCTCAGGGGTCACGCGGTCTTTGTAAGCTGCTGGTCATTCGGGTGCAGGCTCTCTGGCATTCCCACCGCCTTCACATGCCTTTACACTCCCGCACACACCTGCACACACCTGCACATGCCTACCACACACGTGCACTTGAGGGCCGTAACTGCCCGGCTGGCTTATACGGTGTCTTCCCTGACAATGGCCCTGAGACCCAAGCCTGAGCTCACCCCAGACGTGGACACACACTCAGGGCTCCCTGCAGGCCCTGAGGTGGCCAGCCAGCCACCCCGTGGGCCTGGCTACAGGCCATGCCCCACAGACACCACACACAGGGGCGCAGCCAGGTTCCCAGGAATGCAGCCAGGGCTGGGCAGATCTGGGGTTCCTGTTCTCGCAGCTTCTCTGCCTGGCTCCCCTCCCTCCTCCACGCTGCCCCTCCACCCTCCCTTTCAGCCCACCCACTTGCCTTTAATTAGAAATGCCAGGAGAGCGATTTTGGGCAAGTTTTTGCCAGAAAGACATTTCCCCCCAGCTAGGGGTGGAAGCTTGGAGGGGGAAAGAGACAGATTGGCTCTGGGGTAGGGAGGAGGGTTTCCAGGAGAGCAGGGAGAAGGGGCCTGGTGGAGGGACAGCAAGTGGGGATCCCAGAGTGTGTGAGTCAGACAGAGGGGGGCTGGACACGGATCGGGGGACTGGTGAGGGGGTATGAGTGTGTCTAGGGGATGGGTGGGTGGGGGGTATGAGTGTGTCTAGGGGATGGGTGGGTGGGGGGTATGAGTGTGTCTAGGGGATGGGTGGGTGGGGGGGTATGAGTGTGTCTGGGGGATGGGTGGGTGGGGTATGAGTGTCTGGAGGAGGGGTGGGGGGTATGAGTGTGTCTAGGGCATGGGTGGGGGGTATGAGAGGAGTATGCAGTGTGTGTCTGAGAGGGAGAGTGGGAAAGTGGCAGCAGTGCTGGGGGATTTGACTCACTGGTGAGCCCCCGGCTCTGGGCAGTGTGTGTTACCTGTGCCCGCATGAAATCGGAGGACCTGGGACCCATAACCCTCCATCCTGGGGTAACCCAGAAAGGATGTCCCTCCCCCACCACTGTTGCCAGGGAGGCAGAAGGGTCCTCCCTCCTGAGGGAATCTCGGCTTCCGGAGCCCCATTCCTTATATGGTGTTCTGCTTTTCTCTGCCTCTCCTGACTGTATAAGGCTGCCAGCACCCCTTCCGGCCGCCACCGCCTCCTCCTTCTCCTCCTTCCTTCCCCCTCCACCCTCCCCTCCCCCGCTTCACCTTCCTTCCCCTCCTTCCCCTTCTCCTTTCTTCCCCTCCTCCTCCTTCTCCTTCTCCTTCTTTCCCCCTCCTCCCTCCCCCTCCTCCCTTCCTTCTCCTCCTTCCCCTCCTCCCCCCAGCCCTCTTCCATCCTCTCAGAAGTCTTAGAGCTTCTGACCAGGATCCCTCTGTGGCCTGGAAGGTTCAGGTACCAGGACCCCTTCATCCCCTCCACATCCCTTCCCCCACCCCGACACCCCAGCTGGCAGGGAGCAGGTTCCAGATTTCTCTGGAGGCACTACATGGAGAAGTCCTGGGCCTCACCAAAGCTGTGGGCGTGGGGGCCCCAGGCAGTCCTGTCCAGCCATTGCCACCCTGGTGTCACATCCACACCACTGGCCAGGGGCCCAGCGGGGCCGAGCCAAGGCCTGAGTGCTCGTGCCCCTCACACACAGGAGGGAGGACCAGCCCGGTGCCCAGACTTGAGAGACCCCAGGGCAGGGGTGGGCAGGAGCTAGAGGCCACACCTGGGAACCCACACCGGTCTCTGGGGCGTGCTTGCCCTTGTCCACCACAGGAAAGCTCCTCGCAGCCTTCAGTTCCAGGGAAGGAGGGTCTGGATGGCTGTCGGGGGGCGGGGGGTCGCCAGGGCTCATCCGTGGCGGGATTTCCGGCCACGCCGGACTGGGGGACTGGGCACGGGCACTGAGGCCCCGGGAGAGCGGAGTGGAGCACCACCCCGCCCCCTAGAGAGGACGGAGACTGGAGAGGAGGGGGCCCACCCCGAGACCCAGGGGGAGGGAGGGGCTTCCTCCTAACCTTTGGGTGGGTGGGGGCAGCTCAGTACCCGCTCCAGGCCCCCGCGGAATCACACCTGCGCCCCCCCACCTCCGCCGGTCGCGGGCAGGGGGTCGTCGCTGGGGCGCGGCACGGTCCCTCGCCCCGCAGGCTGAATGAGCCGGGGAGGGGGCGTCTGGAGCCCGCAGGCGGATTAGTCACCCGCGCCGCTGGCGCGTGCGGGGGGCGGGTCCTCCCGGGGCGCCGGGCGCGCGGGCGGGCGCGGGGGGCGGGGCGCGCGGGGCGGGGAGCCCGGCGGGGACCAATGGGAGCGGGGGCTCGGCGAGGGGCCGCCCACGGCCGTGCGGCCGCATAAAGGGCCGGCGGCGGCGGCAGGGCGCAGAGCTCGGCGCCGCGGCTCCCCGCTCCTGTCCGCCTCCCCGCGCTCTCCCGCGTTCCGACGCCGCCGCCGCAGCCGCCGCAGCGCCGGGACCGAAGGGACCCTCTCGGCTGCACCGCACCGCCGGCCCAGCAGGACACTGCAGTCCGCACCTCGCGCCAGTCCGACCGCCGCGGCCCCCTGCGCACCGATGGAGCTGGACCACAGGACGAGCGGCGGCCTCCACGCCTACCCCGGGCCGCGGGGCGGGCCGGCGGCCAAGCCCAACGTGATCCTGCAGATCGGTAAGTGCCGGGCCGAGATGCTGGAGCACGTGCGGAGGACCCACCGGCACCTGCTGACCGAGGTGTCCAAGCAGGTGGAGCGGGAGCTGAAGGGGCTGCACCGGTCGGTGGGGAAGCTGGAGAGCAACCTGGACGGCTACGTGCCCACCGGCGACTCGCAGCGCTGGAGGAAGTCCATCAAGGCCTGCCTGTGTCGCTGCCAGGAGACCATCGCCAACCTGGAGCGCTGGGTCAAGCGGGAGATGCACGTGTGGCGGGAGGTCTTCTACCGGCTGGAGAAGTGGGCTGACCGCCTGGAGTCCATGGGCGGCAAGTACCCGGTGGGGAATGAGCCGGGTCGCCACACAGTCTCGGTGGGCGTAGGGGGTCCAGAGGGCTACTGCCAGGAGGCGGACGGCTACGACTACCCTGTCAGCCCCTACGCCATCACCCCTCCGCCGGCTGCTGGGGAGCTGCCGGGACAGGAGCCTGGGGAGGCCCAGCAGTACCCACCCTGGGGGAGCAGTGAGGACGGGCAGCCGAGCCCCGGCGTGGACACGCAGATCTTCGAGGACCCGAGGGAGTTCCTCAGCCACCTGGAGGAGTACCTGCGCCAGGTGGGCGGCTCGGAGGAGTACTGGCTGTCACAGATCCAGAACCACATGAACGGGCCGGCCAAGAAGTGGTGGGAGTTCAAGCAGGGCTCGGTGAAGAACTGGGTGGAGTTCAAGAAAGAGTTCCTGCAGTACAGCGAGGGCACGCTGTCCCGGGAGGCCATCCAGCGGGAGCTGGATCTGCCGCAGAAGCAGGGGGAGCCGCTGGACCAGTTCCTGTGGCGCAAGAGGGACCTGTACCAGACGCTGTACGTGGACGCAGAGGAGGAGGAGATCATCCAGTACGTGGTGGGCACCCTGCAGCCCAAGCTCAAACGCTTCCTGCGCCACCCGCTGCCCAAGACCCTGGAGCAGCTGATCCAGCGAGGCCAGGAAGTGCAGGACGGCCTGGAGCAGGGGGCCGAGCCCGCCGGCACCCCTGTCCCCACCGAGGACGAGCCCGATGCCCTCACGCCGGCCCTCACCAGCGAGTCCGTGGCCAGTGACCGGACCCAGCCCGAGTAGAGGCCAGCCCAGGCCCCAGCCTGCCCACCGCACCCCACCTGTGGCCTTCGCCAGCCAGGACTGTTGAGCTGGGCTGACCCTGCACGGGGGAGCCCCTCTTCCTCACCCGGCTGGGCACCCGACCTCAGCCTGCCACCCTGACTCCCACAGACACATGTCATCCAGCTGTGGGCAGCATCCCCCAAGCAGCCAAGGGCCCCCACCCCGTCACCTGCCTTCTGTCTATCTTTCCTGGCCTCCGATGCCCCCACCCCACTCCCTGCACACTCTCTGGCCACCACAGGCTCTCCCAGCCTCGTTCTTCTGCTCACCCCCACCGCCCGGACCCCCTGGGCACTCAGAAATCAAGTGTGCAGATGGCCTAGGCCAGTGAGCACCAAGCCCAAGGGGCAGCCCCAAGCAGAAGCTGAAACCACCAGCACCGCCTCCCCCACCCCGGGGCCGTTGCCGCGCAGCCGGCGGCTGGCACTCTTGCCGCCACCCAGGGCAGCCGGCCAGCCTCCGGCAGTGGCGAGCCTCTCTCCTGCTGGTGGAAAGCCAGAGCCTCCGGAGCCTCTGGCGGCGGTGGCAGCGGCTGCAGACCTGGCGTCCTGGTGCCTCCTGGCTCCTCAGGTGAGCCCCAGCCCCTAGGCACCCCCACGAGGAGGCACTGTAGGGTAGGGAAGGGCCTGGCCCCTGGGGAAGGGGATCCCCAGCGGGTCAGCTGTAGGGATGGGATGGGGGGCTGCAGTGTGGAGTGGTGGGAACGGAGCAGAGACCCCAGGGATCTGGGAGGAGGGCCGGGGTGGGCGGCGGCGCAGTGGAAAGGTGGAGCCCATGCTCACAGGACCCTGTGCTTTCTCTCTCCTTGGCACCAGTGATCCAGCCCAGCCTGGAAAAGGATCGCCTGGGCTCCAGGACTCCTTGCAGAGGGTCCCACAGGGCCTGAGTCCTCAAACTCCGCTGAGGAGCCAGGAGAGTGACGACAGGTACAGTGGGCCCCCTCTCTCCCACGGAGAGTCCCTGCCCCGCCACTCCCCTGCCCCAGGAACCCAGGCCCAGCACCCCCCAACCCAGTGCTCTGGGCACTGAGAGGCAGCCCACAGTGGGGGCTTGGCCCTGGGGGAGCAGCAGCCCCAAAACATCCACCCCAGCCCTCCTGTGCAGCCCCTCCCAGCCTGCGGCCTGTGTCCCTGACAGCCTGTGTCTTTCTTCCAGGTCTTAAGGCTCCTACAGAGCCTTCGCTGCTGAGCCTGGTGCAGTCCCTCCTCCTCCCCCCACAAGCTGCCTGCACACAAGGAGGAGACCCCGAGGTCAGCAGAGGCGCCGCAGAGAGGGCGGGCCCGGCAGAGAGCTGGTGATGAAGACAGGCCAGCGTGAGGGCCAGGGCCTGCCCTGCGGGCCACCAGTCTGCCCGCCCCCATGGCCGCTGTGGCTGGAGTTGGGGTCTGCCACCGCAAGGCCTGTCTCCCTCCAGCCCCGGAAGCCCTGCCAATGGCACGGCGGCCACCCTCTCCTGCCAGAGCTCTCCAGGAGCTCTGAGGCTGAGGCCACAGCCCCAGCCCCTGCCCGCAGCCCCGGGCCCCACCGCAGGAGATCTCAGAAGCCCTGCACCCGGGGTTTAAGCAGGCTCTGCCAGGCCCCACCACTGCCGGGGCCCAGACCCCAGCTCTGCCGGCACCAGCGCCCTGGCTGGGGGTTCTCCTTTCTTTCCAGCTGGTGGGGGTTTCCAGATTTAGGAGAATGACGGCTGCAGTGGACTGTCAGCCCCTCCATCCCACCCTCTGCCAGCGCCGCCCCCCCCAGATTTTATTTTTGTACATAAGCCATAACCTATCCTCACAGGCTGGCAGAGGCTGCAGGGAGGCCCTGGGGTCCTCAAGAGAGTGTGTGGCCAGTTCCCCCCACCCCCACCCAGCGGGTCAGGCCTTGAATGTCGGGCCGGGCCACGTGTACCTCATCACCTTACCTGAAGACAGACTCTTTTGTAAGATTTTGTTAATAAAACAATGAAACTTCTCCGTGCATGCTGTTGTTTCTCTGCCAGGTTCGGTTGACTGGCGTGGAGCTGCGGAGGGAGGCGGCTCGGGGAGGTGCGTTCCTGGAAGCCCCATGAGCGCAGACGGAAGGGTCTTTGGGGACGGAGGGAGCACAGCCCGCCACCCCACAGGCCAGTTGGTCAGGGTTCTGGATCCCCAGGGTAGTAGGGCTGAGGGGCTCCCCTTGTGGAAGCCAAAGACCTGTGGCCTCCAGGCCTGAGGCAGGCAGTGGTGGAGAGACCTGGAAACCTCCTCCTGGCTAAGCCGAGGACTGGCCCCCAACAACCTGTTCACCCTGTCTGCTGGGGCGTGGGCTGTCCTGAGAGCTCTCCTGTCGCCGGGGCTCAGCCCCCACGGAGGCCCAGGGCTTCCGCCTAGGGGTCTTCTCCAGCACCGAGCAAGGCAAGATCCCCACTGGGAGGGGACCCTGACAAGTCCCGGGTCATAGCTGTGTTCTCCCCAAGTCTGTTTCCTCATCAGCAAAATGAGAAAACCGCCACTAATATAAATCCACGGGTGGGTTCAAGAACTGAGAGACGACGGCCACCTTTGTCCTGCGGGTGGCTGGCCTCACTGGCCTCTGTGGGCTTTCAAGTTCCCTGAGAGAGGGAGAGCGAGCGTAAGTGGGCTCAAACTCCTGAACCAGCTGGGGTTCAAGGAGAACCAGGCCCAGTGGGGGCGGACAGCGAGCCGTTGGTCACAGGGAGTTGGCTTGCTCAGATGTGGGCCGGACCGCTGCAGGATTTCCTCTCCCTCTGCTGTGGCTCAGCTCCACAATTAGGGCCCGTCTACTGATGGAGCCAGGCCCAACCCGATGACTTCGGTGATCATCCTGATGTCGAGTCAAGTGATGATGGGCTCTGGTCACACCTGCAAAAGGCCTTCCGAGCAATACCTACCTTCGGGTTTGATTGAAAGCCGGGGGACGGGTCCCTAGCGAGGCTGATGTGTACAGCTGACCGTCAGGAATGCCGCAGTCGTGGCCAGAGGCTAGTGACCTACCCAGCACAGGTCTGATGAGGGAACAGAAGGCTAGCTGAGGACAAAACAGAAGCTGACACCTCCCTTCCCCCCACCCCGCCATGGGACATATGTGACATTCCTCAGGCACTCCCCGCTGCCCTAAAAGGGAAAACAAATAGCTAACCTGTAGCGATCACAATCCTGCAAGACCCTCGCGATTTACAAGAAAGAAGCTTTCTTACCCATAGCCTAAGTCCAGGACCCATAGCTCAGTCCCTGGAGCCCTAACATCGCCCTCCCGCCCACAAAACCGAGGGAGGCTGAGGCGGAGGGACACGTGAATAAAGCTGAATTTCTTCTAACCCTGAGTGTCACTGACAAGGACGTGTGAGAGCAGGCATGTGACGTTCCTCCAGGAAGCTCCCAACAGTCTTCCCGTTAGTGCCTCATTAGAGGGAAAACCAGTGTGGCCGGACAAGAGCCAGGCCCCCAGTACCCCGAGAGTCTTCGTTAGCGTGTGACAGTCCTTCTGGACACCCCTCTGTCCTCGCCTCCCCAGCTGCCGACTATAGAACCAGCCGCTCCATGGGTCGCGGAGCAGCAGCTCTTTCTGCCCCCGGGGCCTGGCCCTGCACGCGCCCCTTTTCACCAAAGACGCCTCAGGGATTCTTTCTTGGTGGTTGGCTCCGGACTCCACCCCACTGAACCTCTCCTGTACCCCCAAACCACATCAGGTCCTCCCCCCGCGCCCCCCCCCCGGCTCTGTAGGGTGCTGGGCTGGAGGGGGCGGGGAGGGCAGGTGCGGAAGCCAAGCACAGCCAGCCCGGTGCCCGCCCCGCTAGAGCCTCGCCAGAGCCTCGCTCCGCAGGGTCCGGGGGTGGGGGGAGGACGGGTCCCTGCCCGGCGTGAGGACACCCTGGGAGGCAGGAAGCGAGTGGGAGGCAGAAAGAGCCACCAGCCACGAGGAAATATCACCTCCACGCGGAGAGGGCTGGCGGCCCTGAGCAAGGCGCTCCCTGGTGAAAAGGCGGCCTCCTCCCTATTCTTCCCTTTTATTTCTTTTAAATAATGGAAGCTCTGACAAGAATCGGGAAAGGAAATTGACAGGAACAGGAGGCTGGGGCCCCACGGCGATGCCTGAGCGGCAGTGATCTCTCCCGGAGAAACACTGCGGCTCACATCAAAAGCTGGAAGCTATAGGTGCCTTTTTCTTCTCTATAATAACAAGTTGTCCCCGTAACCGCACGGCCGTGAGACAGGCTATCGAGCACTTCGAGTGACTGGAGACACAGCTCTGAGTCTTTGTGTCCTCGGAGAAAAGACGGAGGCCGAGGGCAGGGCAGGGGTGGCAGGGGTGGAGGCGCCCAGACCCAGCCCCGGGCCAGGACAGTGTGCGCCCCGCACAGGCCGTGCTTGCCCTCCCCATCCTGCCGACCCGTTATCACAGATGACCCAGCCTCCTGTCTTGACGGGGAAACTGAGGCACAGGGAGGGGCCGTGCTTGCCTCACCTCCGGGGTCAGAGCTGGGACTGGAGATGGGGCGTCTGGAAGCCCCGCGGGGGCCCACCCTGCAGACCCAGCTTGCTGTGGGGCTCCGAGCCGGGGGCAAGTGGGCTCAAGCCCCAGGGCTGCCTTTTCACTAAGATCAAGTCCACCCACGGAGGGGGCGTGAGGGTCAGAGAGCAGCGGGCCCAGGCAGGGGGAGAGGCTCGGAGCTGCTGAGACGTGGTCTCACGTGTCCCCTTAACGTGCTGTTGGGGGTGAGCCCTCAGCCCCGCAGGTTAAGCAAAGCTTTAAGTCCCCGCCCGAGGGACGGGCTTGGGAAGGCGTCTGAGCCTGAGCGAGGCCAGGCGGTCGTAACGAACAGGCCGGACCGAACGGCTGCTCTTCTGTCCCAGGAGCACGTGGCTGGGGCCTGAGCTCCGCTGCCCATTCAGACCTTCCAAGTGCCCTGCCGCCTCCAGGCCGCTGTCTGTGTCTGTTGGAGAAGCCAGAGGAAGGACAAGGAGATGGCCAGG